CCCCCCCCCCTTTGAACTGTGAGCCGCCCTGAGTCCCCCCAGGGAAAAGGGCGGCATACAAATAAAGCGAAACTGAAACTGAAACTGTAAAAACTGCTGATCTTTCTGATCTACAAGTTCAGCATCTTAACCACTGAGCCACCGGGTCCCTAATACACCACGTGTTTATTAGCAATATGCTAAAGGTATCAGGATTTTCATGTATCCAAAGGTATCTGGCATCTTCTCCATACTACACATAAAATGTTATCCATCTTTTTAATGGGTGTTCTTTTAATTCCCAAATTGGTTAAGCAGTTGGTATATGCTGTTACATTCACAATAAAAGAGTTCATTCTCAATTACAGATAGTGTTGAACTCACTTACAAGCATGTAAAAAATTAACACACAAGTGTATAATTGTAGTTTTATGCTCAAGTACCCTAATTATGCACTTTAAAGCACATTCAAAGGAGCCATTGAGGGCATTCAATACCTCAGCTCTATGAAGTCTACAGAACACTTTCTAACAAGACAGCTGCATAAAAAAGAAATAAAGCAAACTTTAAAACTGCATTCAAACAAAGATGAAACTCAGAAAACAAGATTGCATGGTACTTCCAAGTAAGGATCCCAGATCTCTAGGCCATCACACTATACCCAAGCATGAAAAGAAATTAATTTCTCCCCAGAACAAAAAATGCTGAAGTCACAATATGGGATTTCCAAGAATATACTTGGAATTATATTCTTCAACATTTGCAACATATTAAAAGTTTCAGAATTACTTTTCTCTGTGAATTTTGTGTGTCACATAAAGAATCTTCCCTAAAAGCATTTTTCAAGAAGTTGCTATATTTATAATCATTGATTAACACTGGGGATATTCAAAGGAGGATATTTTCATTTCCCTAGTAGCTCAAATCAGGACACAGATGACGTGGGATCAAGTAGATCTGAATCCTTATCAAACTAGTACTCAACAAAATGCTCAAGAACAGCAGTCAAGGCAACCAAGACATCAGCTTGAGCCTTCTGTTTTGTTCACTGTTAAAAACTCATATTAATCATTCATATTTTATTTGAGAGATAATTATTTCTAGCAAAGAGCAATTATAACTCAAATGACACAAAATGTTTATAAATGGATTTCCTTTTTATGTGCAGCCTTCAGTCATTAAATCCAGCTACTTGCAAGACATGGCTGATTTTTGTTGATCTTGGAAGCTAAATTGAATTGTACTTGAGGAGTACTTGGATGGTATACCAACAGGAAATGCAACTCAAAAAAAATCTGGAAAAAGGACGTGGAAAACCACTTCCATGCTATTGTGGAAAAAAAATATCAACAATTTTCTCTGTCATTGGAGTCCAATGACTTGAATTGAAGAAGACTTGGCATTTTATAGATAATAAAAGAAATTGCATGATGAAAAATCAAATGTTTCATTTCCAAACAGCCATTTTAAATATCCTCCCTACAATAGAAAAAAAATGTAACAAAAGAAATTCAGTATTTTTTAACTTTTCAGAAACACTAAAAATGTCTTCATTGTTATTTTTAAAAAATTGCAAATACAAGATGATGGAGACTTGGGTTTTAAGGTATATATGTAGTTCTCGACTTACAACACTTCATTTAGTGACCATTCAAAGTTACAATGCCATTGAAAAAAAGGGTGACCATTTTTCATACTTACAGCCGCTGCATCATTCCCACGGTCATGTGATCAAAATTCAGCTATTTGACAACTCACTGTTTCCTCCCTTAGATGAGCAATATGAATTTAACTAAATAGTTCACTCCTGGAGGTTGTTTCAGCACATCTTATTTAAGAACATACAGGGGAGGGAGGAGCTGCCCTATGCTTGATTCAGTTATTTGCATTAATCAAAACTCTTTCCCATCATTTGCCACTTCAGAAGTTTCTGATGGGAGGAACATATGATCTTCATATTTTGCTACTAAAGTGTGATTATTCCTTAAAGACTACTTTTCTACCAAGCAATCCCAAAAAGGAGTTTTTATAACTGGCAATGTTTTGTTGTACTACACATAACTTTTTTCCTCACTATTTAAATATGTATAAGAACCAGTTTAGTGTAGTGCCATGATGGTGAACCTATGGCACACGTGCCAGAGCCCTCTCTGTGGACACATATGCCATTGCCAGCTGTTCTTCTGGTTTCTGGTGTGTGCATTGGCCAGCTGGCGTTCACATGTGCGGGAGCACTGGAAACCTGAAGACCATCTGGTCTTTGTATTTCCAGCGCTCTGGTGTCCATGAAGGCCAGCTGGCTGATATGCATGTGCATGCCGGAAACCCAAAGGCTAGGTGGCTGGCGCGTGCATACACACTGGCCAGCTGGTCTTTGGGTTTCTGGTGCTCTGGTGTGCATATGTTCCGGTGCGCACACAATCCGTTTTGGCCACTCAGTGTTGAAAGGGTTCCCCATCCCCTTACAATATTGTCTACAACAGGTGTCCGTAACTTCTAGTCCCATCCTAGACACAAAGTCAGTTGAATGACCTTGGGCCAGTCACACATACACTCTCTTTCTACCCTATAAAGAAGATAACAGCTAACCACTTCTGAAGAACCTTGCCAAGAAAACCTTTGGGGCCTCTTCCCACAT